TAGTTTCTCATAATTCTCATAGTTTCTCATAGTTTCTTACATTTCTCATGCTTTCTCATATTTCTCATAGCTTCTCATAGCTTCTCACATGTCTCACATTTCTCATATTTTTTCACACGTCTCACGTGTTCTCACATGCTCTCACACCTCATCACAGCTTATCATAGCTGATCGTAGATTTCTCACACTTCTCACATTTAACTATATGCTCTCATATGTTCTCGCACTTGCTAATCATTGTTCACATTTTCAGACTTGTTCGCGCATCTCATATGCTCTCACAGTTTGTAGCGCACTCTCTTATTTTCCCAGAGTTTATCATAGGTTCTCGTAGCTTCTCTCATATTTTCTCACAAGTAAACTGATGGGGGAAAGCAAAGGAGTGGTCCACTCGTGGCGCCAGTCCCTTGCTTTCACCTGTCAGTTTCCTTTGCACCCTGCATGATGCTTTCGTGCAGAACACGCAGCCTGCAAGTCAGTGCACTCATAAAACCTTAAAGCATGCAGTTAAATATGAGAAACTATGAGAGACTATGATACACTGTGAGAAGCTATGGGAGCACGTGCGAAAAGGTGAGAGCAGAAGTGCATTTGATGAAGTATGTGAGCACGTGAAATGATATGAGAAACTTGTGATGAGGTGCCATCAACACGTATAATATGAGAACTTGATAAAATGTGAGAAGATGAGTGGACTTTACCACTGCACTGATGAGCTCATAATGGGAAACCTGCCAAGAGATGCAAACATGGGAAGTGCAACTTCCTATACTTGCATGTCTTGTCACGTTTCCCTCCTGAGCACCTATGAGAATATATGAGAACACGTGGGAAATGCGTGCTAAACTATGACAGCGTCTGAGACCATATGAGAAGCAAATGCGAGGAACAATGAGAAACGTGACAAGCCTATGAGACATATGGGCCAAGTATGAGAAATATGAGAAAATGTGAGAGGCCAGGAGAAATATGAGAACATATGATAAGCATATGAGAATATATGAGAAATATGAGAACGTATCAGAAATATGAGAAAATATGAGAAACTATGAGAAACTATGAGAGATGTGAGACACGTGAGAAATGTGAGAAATGTGAGAAGTATGAGAAATATGAGAAACTATGAGAAACTATGAGACATCTGAGAAGATGTCAGAGCGTGCAGTTGGTGAAGTATGTGAGTGTGTGAAGTGATATGAGAAACTTGCGATGAGGTGCCATCAATGCATATAATATGAGAACAAGTGAGAAGTGTGAGAAGTATGTGCGAGAAAATGTGAGAAAGCCAGACAGTCGTGTGAGACACTCAGGGCATCTGTGAGAACATATGATAAATGTGATGAGTGCAAATGTGATAAACAGTGTCTAATATGAGAGTGCATGAGAGCCACACAGTGCCCCCTGGTCTGGGTGCAGGTGTGCGCACCTAGGCTCAGCAGGGTCTCCTCAATGCACTTCAGGGCCGCTATGGCCTTGCAGCAAAGCGACCAAGGATGCAGTCCCTTGCTGCTACAGTTGTGAGTTCAGTCACTCGAACCCGAGACAGAGCCACCAGTCGGCAAACGGATCGCAGCCACTCCATGTCCTTCAAAAGGCACTGGTGTGCTCACAAGCTCTGAGCACTGCAGTGTCCTTGTGCAAGTAAAGCTGGACCAAATTCGGGCTGATGTCAGACACATCCTGAAAAGGTCAGTCCTAGCTGAGTGGTTGAGAGACAAGCCTAAGGCCCAGTCTGGAGAAGCAGGGAGGCAGTTCGGAATCTGGAGGTCCACGGGCACCGCGTCCTGAGGCACGCATGCGCAGGCATCAACAAAAGAAGGGCTGGGCCTGCCCCGCCTGCACTGGTGCTGACGCAGGCCTCTTCAGGCAGGGCTTTGCTGGCTGAGGCTTCCCTTGCTCGCTACTCTTGCTAGTCTCGGTCTGCTTGGCAGTCTTGCTCTTCTCACCAGTGCTGCTACTGCTAGTATTCTTGCTGGTCTTCATTGCTTTGCTGCCACTTGCACTGGCCTTGCTCTTTGGGCCCTTGTGGCTGTGGTGGCTCTTCTGCTTTCCGTTGAGCCTCTTCTTCTTCTTCTGCTTGATCTTCTTCCTGGGCTGCCCCTGCTTGCTGTCTGCTTCTGAGCCCTCTGTCGGACGCTTCTTGGAGACGGCCTTGCTCTTCGAAGTCCTGGCATTGATGCTAAAGTGAGGCTAGAACAGAAGTGGTGGTGATAACATTAGTGTCTCCTCCGCAGCTCTGTCAGTGACTTTGCACCAAGTTCTTTCTTGAGATGCTGGGCAGCTTCCAGCTCTGTGCTGAACAGCTTCCCGTGCGTTTTGCCACCCTTGGCTTGCAAGGTGGATGTGAGGGGCCGATGAGACACACTGGCATGCACCTGCAGACGAGGAGCAAACTGAACAAAGTAGCCCTCTTGGTGCTTCTGGGCGCGCCAGTAGACATGGCGATACTTTGAGGGTGGCATGGCGAAGCTGAGACCCACTGGATCACTAGACCCACTGGAGTGCCAGCCCTAGCCCTTGAGCCCTGTGCCTAATGGACCTACTCCCACTGGATCCCTCAAAACATGTGGAGGCTACTGCGGGCCCATGGGTGCAGGCATGGCGTCAGGGTCTGAGGCTGCTTCCGGTAATGGCCAGCGCGGTGACTGCCTGGCGGGCAGAGTGGCCGTGTGGGTGAGTTTATCCTTGCAACGCACCAACATCTGCACAAGGGAAAGGGCTGAATGCGCAGCTGTGTGAGAAAGAAGCCAGCACTTGGAGAACACAGGAAATCGTGAGGCTAGCTATTATCAATGCTCAAGTTATGTCATGACAGTGGGGCTGCATTGCCCTCAGGCGTTTGCCCGGCAAAGCAACTTGACAAGATAATAAGCTTCCCTGAGCCAACAGGAAGACACGGCTTGCACTTGCCCAAGCCGAACTGAGGCCCCGTCCGACCCTGTTCCCGCGACCAGTTGGCATTTCCTTGGCCAAGCTGAGGCAGGAAAGTAGGCAAGTTGCCATCAAGCTCTGCCATGCAAGCCAACGGCAATGCTGAGCCCCAGGGCCATGGGGGAGTTGCTGCTCTCCCTGCAGTAGTCCTGGGCACGGCGGGCACTTCTTCATAAATCATGATCTGTAGCGCTGCTGACATGCACGCACTGATGGTTTGCACAAATTTGCACCTATGCAGCAAAATCCTCCCTGCAGCAGGGGTGGGCGATTCCCTAGTCCCCTTTGGTGGGACAGCCCAAAAGAGGCTTCTGGAACTGTAGCAATTACGATGCTAAACATGCTAAAACATTGCAGTTGTTGGCCCAGCCCTTGCGGGGAAACTGGCTGAACATGATGGGAAGATGGCAGGCATATGGCTGGCTTCCAGTGTGCTGTCCACGCGCACTGGAGCCGTTTGAGACCGTCCATGGGGAGGTCTAGTGGCCACGGGTATAGAGGGTCATACTGGGTGCCCAAAGTTGGCTCGAGGGAGTCTAATCCTTCATCTAATGGCTGGACTACTGGACCCACTAGACCCACTAGACCCTACTGGACCCAAACAAGCAAGTGCCTACTGATTCTGATAGCAGTTCACAAATGAATTGTGAACTGCTGCCGGCACGTCTTCTTCGTCGATGCGAAGAAGGTGCAAAACCGGACGCGTGCGAGCGTGGGGGTTCGCCGGGCCTTTGGCCCACTCCATGGCCACCAGCTTGGCCGGTGCCTTGCCGGCGCCCTTGCCCTGCTGACTCAGGGTCAGTGCTCGCTGGAGCTGCCAAGGCCTCGCACAGAGACAAGCAAACTGCGTGGAGAAGCACAAGATACACGGAAAGGACATTGCCAAGCTTTGAGAGCATGAGGCAGTTACAAAGGATGGGGCGATGAGCGGCCAAGGCGCGTCCCCGTGAAGGCGACATAAGCACAATGACCGCCGCGAGCTTCCAGCCAGAAATTCGGAGCCCTGAAGCAAGTCAAGGGAGTGAGAATCATAGAGTCAGAAGCATGGTGTGAGCGCCCTGGAGTGCAGCCATGGGGCATCGTGAACGCCTCGGCCCGCTCCATTGGGACATAGTCCGTCCCATATGTCCAATTGACGCTTGGGATCTTGTACATCGTGATGCCCCCGCGATGCGGGAAGTCGAAGCCTCAGGAAATCATATGATCATGAAAGTTCTGCATGCAAGCGTCCTACGCACAGACCCAACCCATACACATGTCAATATCGATGCGAGATCATTATTGATATCGTCGATATCGATATCAACACCTCTCCATCTATCGATCAAAATATCTATTACATATACATATATATATATAGATACATGTCTATCTATAAATACGTATCAACACAATGGACATTGCATTAAGTTACATTACATTACAGTGCATTACATCACATTACCTTGCATAACATTGCATTAATGCGCAACACAGTGCAGTACTGCACATGACATGACAGTACTGCACTGTGTCGCGCATTAATGCAATGGTGTGTTTCATTCTGTCACGGCACATGACGCTACCTGGCATTACACCTTGTTACGTCACATTGCCTTGTGCTGCGCGGCATTGGTTTACAAAGTTTGTTGTGCATCGCGTGGCATCACGTCACATCGCACTGCACTGCACAGAGCTGCATTGCACTGCGTCACACTGCACTGTGCTGCATGATGTTACACTATGTGACCCTAAATTACACAGCATACATTAGATTACAACCTTTGTTTTGTGTCGCATTACATTACAACATGCTGCGTTGCATTACATTGCATAGTGTTGCGTTGCGTTACATTACATTGCGCTACTGTGGGTTGAATTGCATCACATTGCATTGCATTGCATTATGTGACACACATTCCATTGCATTGCAATTTACATTACATACACACATGCAAACTCACATATTAATGGTGCATCAAGTGTGCTCACTACTATGTGTTCAGACTAGCGGCACACGAACATGGTGACAAAGAGGTCGACCCACCAACTTGATCCACTGGATGGCACTAGAGTGGACAGTGGCAGGCTGTCCTCGACCAAGCTCAGGGAGTGGTCCCGGAGGATGCCTTCCGCCTTGAAGAGGTGGGGCGTGACGCCGGGATACCTGAGCGAGGCAGGAGTGCTATGATGCTCTGTGTGCCCTGCATTAAACAAGAGCAACTGAGGGACGGGAGGGACCAGCTGTTCCAGTCAACCTTGCCCCGGTAGCGCCACAGCTGCTTCATCTGCGCCCTGGTTGACGTCGTGTCCTCCGTCAGCTCCACGCCAGCCGCACTGAGGCAGCTGCCCTCAAAGATGAGCAACACGTGGATGCGATCCACGGCCTTGGCGTAGTGGTCCAGGAAGTTAAAGCCTCGGGCAGCTGCAAGCCACGACTTTGCTGGAGCAGCAGCTACGCTAGAATGCCGCCAAGAAGCTGGATCCACTGGAGCCACTGGAGCCACTCCTGTCACCTTGGCAAGGGCCAGTGAGCACAAATGCAACCAGTCAGGATGCACGACTATCCTCATTTTTTCAAACCAGGGGCTGAGGCAGTCCGGGTAGAGCCACCCGCAGTCTGTGAACCTCCAGGACCCCTGCCGCATGCTGTGCTGCGCGAGCACCGGGCCATAGGGAATGCGGCCAGTTGACAGGGTCTGAAGCCAAGCGAGGATGCCCTGGTGGCATGCCTTGCCCTTGTGTGCTCTGGCATTCAGGGACTCGATGACAAGGGTCACAACGGAAGCAATGTGGGTTGCAAAGTACCTGGAGGGCACTGCAAGAATGTAGGCTTGCGGGCACATGGGTGTGTGCTCAAGAGGCTGGGGCACGTCTGCATGGTGATGTGCCCACCGGCATAGGTGCCATTGGGCTTCAGACCGGCGTACGTCCACCGGAAGTCCTGGAGGTAGTCCTGAGTTTGTTGCTTGCATGTGCGTTGGGGGAGAGGCTGCAAATTGCGTGCGCACTGTGTGGGCGTGCATCAAGGTGCAAGTCAGTGTGAAATGCATACTAATGCACTCCTGCGCATGCCTGTGTGGGGTCAGAGTAGTATACATTGAATGTATGCGTGGCGTCAATGCGGCCGGGCGGCGGAGCCAGCGAGACCAAGAGACTCCGGATTCTCCACGAGATTCAGGTAGAACTTGTCGAAGCTGTGGAGGTGCGGATCTGGCAGAATGGCGAGTGACTGTGGCTAACAAGTGGGGGAGTCCTTTTGATGGCACACTGAGGTCCGGGCAGCGATCGTAGTCATCAGAGCAAGTCCATGAGCTCTCTGGGTTCGGTGGACTGGCGGGCTCTGGCTCGCTGCTAAAGCTGGCGTGCGGTAAGCTGGCGGACCCCACGTTTTCCCAGGACGAGACTGACTCGGACCCCACCAGATCCGGAGCCACTCGACCCGCTCGATCCACTGGATCCACTGGATCCACTGGATCTGCGTGATCCACATGGTCCAGTGACTCCAGCTCCAGATCCTCCGCGGTCGGGGCTGATGGTGGCTGCTGTGGGCCTGCAAGGCAAGGCACCCGTTGAGGGGAGCAACGCATGGATCTGTTCGCCCAGCCTTCGCGTCTTAGCCCGTGGAAGGCTTGTTCAGAATGCCAGTCGCCGCGCACTTTCGCCCGAAGCCCGAGGGTCTGACCAGTCGAGTTCATCAGGGTTTTCATGGTGTACTCGGACGTGAGCGTTGAGGTGGCCTTGCAAGGCTGGCAACTGGATTTTGCTTTGCAGCTTGGTCCACTCCAAAGCCATGCGAGAGCCAATGCTAGCAACTTGAGCTCTCTGTTGGGGCTCTGGCAAAGCTGAAGGTCGCAATGGTCCTGAGTCATCAAGCAAAGCACTAATGTGATGTGTGCCAAACACTAGTGTAACTAGGTGTGTGCTAGGCAGGATGCATGCTCAGGGCTTCACTTATCGGACTTGTTGATGGCTGACACCGTGAGGAAGGCGTGCTCCGACAAGTCTGCAAAGCACTTGTGCTGCAAGACCTGGGCGTGACAGTTGCGTTGCATCCCTTGCGAGTGAAGCATGGCTAAGAGTCGGACGGAATCCTTAGAGTCTTTCCACCCAGTCTGTGCCAGAGTACTCTTGGTGCTGTCATTCACCACTCGCCTTGCCAGTGTGCAATTTGAACTCAATCAGGCAACCCCTGGCTTGCTTGGATTCGGCTTCTGAGGCGATGGCAAGAAGAAGGGGACCGCGGGCATGTCCGTGACAAACTCGATGATCAAGTCGACCGTCAAGATTGGCGTTGGCGCGATGGGAGCTAACGCTGCCATGATGGCAAGTAGCAGAGCTTACTGGAGCTTCAACTTGCTGCAGGCTTCAAAGGCATCATGTCAGTCAAGCCATCCGTCATGCATGACGTGATTTGGTTACAGACCTCTCTCCTGCCTGATGATTTATTGTGATGTCCTGCCCCCCCCCCCCGCACTTGTAGCAGTCTGCACTTGAGGCCCTGGCCACTGGGCTGTACTAGACCACTGGATAGTGCTAGACCTGGCTCAGTGGAACACTTCCAAGACGCATGATGCACATGTCTGCCGTCCTGCCCCCCCACCCCCCCCCCCCCCTGAAGTAGCAGTCTGCTCTTGAGGACCTGGCCACTGGATGTTGCAAACGTCTCGTGCTAGACCAGCCTCAGAAGAATGTTTCTTGCACGCGTCTCTCATACCAAAGTTTTTGAGACACTCTCTTCTTTTGTGAGACACCCCCCCCCTTTCTGAGACACCAGCTTGACAAGCACCTCATGCATCAGTCCTGTAGCCTGTGCTCTGCAGACGAGTCCTTGCACGGGCAGCCGGAGCCTATGAGGTGGACACAGAAGGCGCTCTGTGCATGTAGAATAAGCACTGTGCACACTGTGGCTCATAGGTGTCTCATATGTCTCTCACAGCTTCTCATGCTTCTCAGATTTTCTCATAGTTTCTCATACTTCTCATATTTTCTCATATGTCTAATGTTTCTCATAGTTTCTCATAGTTTCTCATAGTTTCTCATATTTTCTCATATTTCTCATACTTATCATATGTTCTCATATGTTCTCATAGATTCTCATAGTTTTTATCATATGTTCTCATAGTTTCTCATATTTCTCATACTTTCCCATATGTCTCATAGGTTTATCACGTTTCTCATAGTCCCTAGCATTTACTTCTGGCAAGGTCTCATATGTTCTCATAGTTTATCATGCATTTCCCACATGTTCTCATATTTTCTCATAGGTGCTCAGGAGGGAAATGTGACAAGACATGCAAGTATAGGAAGTTGCACTTCCCATGTTTGCATCTCTTGGCAGGTTTCCCATTATGAGCTCATCAGTGCAATGGTAAAGTCCACTGATGGCAAGTAACCATGTGTGCGTGTGTCCAAATAGAAACTGTCGAGTGAGAAGTGTGTGAAGAACACATTGCAAGCCAACAAGGGGCATCAAGGAGCCACATGATACATCCATGCTTATCATGTGTGAGTGTGTCCCAGACAGCTCCTGCATATGTTCTCCGGCATTCCCCAATTGTCTTTCCCACGTGTTCTGGCATGCCTCTCATGCTCCCCCGTTTCCCCATTTCAAACGCAGTTACATTTCTCAGATGTCTCATATACTTGTCGCATATGTGCTTCATACTTGTCTCATATGTTTCTCACATGCTTCTCATATGTTCAAAATGTTCATGCGTGTCATATGAGACAAGTATGATCATATATGTTTGCATATGTTCCTCATATGGTGTGCATATTAGTATGTTATCATGTTTGCTCACACCTTTATCATATTTTCTCAAGTACAGGTCACATAAAGCTATGAGAACACTTGGGAATCTTGAGACATGTGTGTCTTCACAAGTGTCTCACAGGTTTCTTATAGCTTCTCAGTTCTAGCATGTGAATTTTCTCATACGATTGTCATACTTTTCTCATATGTATCCCATATGTGCCTTTCATGCAGAGATCATGCAAGCATCAATGCGTGCAAACATCAGAGTGCACAAGGTCCAAATGGGTGAGTGTAAGCAAGCTTTAGGAAAATGAAGGCCCCAACAAAAGGCAAACACCCAAGCAGTGCCACGCAGGGTGCCTGTAATGGCTGCAAGGCAATGTGGCTGCACATGCAAGTTGCTACACTAGCTGCTACACCAGCTGGGTGAGAAGACATTGATTGCTGTAATTATAAGGGCTGCACTGAACCAGTTATGGGCCACACACTTGGCCCCAGGCATGGCCAATGATGGTCCAACAGTCCTCAGGCGGCTGTCAGTCAGAGCGATCATGCGTGATGCACATGTGGCTTGCTCTTTGCGGGCACTGAGTACTGGATGGGCTTGTCAGTGTGGCCAAAGCAAGCATGCTGCAGGTGTGAGATGCATGACATGCTCTGGCTGAGGCCCTAGCATAGTGCGAGGGCTGCCTGGCAGGCACCAGTGCGACGGATTGTGCATGCCATGAACACATCCATGGGCCCTTGAGACCACCAGACCCACTCTAGCCACTAGAAGGCTGGAGTGCAGCACTGGATCCTACTTGATCCCATAGCCTTCACGCCTGCCACGTCTGTGAGACGAGCTGTCTCACATCTTGGGAAGGTGTGAGGTAGTGCCTTAGTGCGCAAGGATGGTGGCAAGGATGCGTGATGTGCGAAATGTATTTGAAGAATGTGCATGCTGTACTGTAAGCCAGGAAGCTGGGTGCAGTCACGGCACCAGCCTTTGCAGCCAGTCCACGACCGCTCTGCCAGGTGCTGCAGCTCCACCTCATAGAGCTGGCCTCAGGCTGACACATCTATGCAAACGTGCCAAGCGCCAAGCCAACATGCAAATTGCACTGAGCTGCTTTTCAGCAGCCAGTGGACAATGATTGCTGCAGCAACGCTCCGGTGTCTACCAGCACTGCAGGCAAAGCAGAGGCTGAAGGTCTGTGGCGTCTTGATCGCCTTGAGCCACTGGAGCCAGCAAAAAAGCCCCCTCCTCAGTTAGCGCCAAGTAAGTTTGACAAAGGTTCGTCTGACTGAAACCCGCGCCAGCAAGCTCTGAAGCCAGGGGGCAGCATGACAGCAAACTTGGGATGCTGGGCAATCCTCAGCTGAATGACGGGGTTCGTGCCCATGTGCCTGGTGTCCCTCGCCGGATCGTGGAAGGCATGCAGCGGGATCACCAGATCAAACATGGCATAGGTCTTCTTGTTTGAGAGCTGAGCTAGACCAGCTGAATAGACCTGCGCATCAGGGATTTGGCGGCCACACTCACCCCGCAGAGCAATATGCTTATTTTCTGGACCCCCCAGCCTTGACTTTGTGTGGCTTTGGCATGGGCTTGGGCTGGGGTCTTATCTTTGGTGCTGCCCTTGAAGTGGCATCATCATCATCATCATCACTGCCTGGATCAACTAGATCCACTGGATCTGGGGTGGCTGGATCCTCCACTAGGTCGGCTGGATGCTCTGGATCCACTGGATCCTCTGCGTCGCAGTCACTGACTAGGTCCACTTCCACTAAATCTGTTGGATCTGGGGTGGCTGGATCTGGATCCTCTGGCTCTGGGGTGGCTGGATCCTGTGGATGGAAGTCCCTGACTGTGTCCGCTAGATCCACTGGATCTACTAGATATTTGGTTGGAAGGAGTGGGGCGGAGGCTGGCTCAATTGGACTGTTCTCTTGCTCAAAAGCCTCCATCACCTCTCTCCGGTTCTCCTCCAACCACTCCTGGAGCTGCCTGTGGATGACTTCTTCCTCAGCCATAGGACAGGGTTTGAGTGTCAGGCACAGCCCCTGT